TCCCCCCAAAATTTGAATGTTGAAGCCTTAACCCCCAATATGATGGTATTTGTAACTGGGGCCTTTGGGAAGTAATTATGTTTAAGATAAGGTCATAAAGGTAGGGACTTTGTTATGGGATTAGTGCCCTTATAAGAAGAGACACCTGAAAACTTGGTTGGTTTCTTTCTCTCTCCCTCTCCCTCTCCCATTTCTGATTCCTCTCCCTCTCTACCTTGTAAGGACACAGAAAGAAAGCAGCTATCTATAAGATACGAAGGGAGCTCTTATTGGGAAAATGAATTAGATGATCCCTTGATCTTAGACTTCCATCCATAGCTGTGAGAAGTAAATGTTTGTTGTTTAAGCCACCCTGTCTATGATAATTTTGTTTTGTCAACCAGAGCCAAGAGCACTGAGAAGCCAAAAGTACTGGTTGGAGCCCTTTTCTTAGAAAATGCACATTTTCATATTTCCTTGCAGGATGAACTTGCTTACCATTACCTGGGGCCAGAGCATTTACTACCTTGTAGAATATATCACTTCTAAAGCCTCTGAGTTCTTTCTCTACACAGTAGAGGAGCACCCAGTATGGCTTCCCACTCCCTCAGCAAGTCCAGATTACTGTGCACCCTGTAGATCTTTGGGAGACACCAGAGTTTTCCCAAAAGGTTTGTAAGGGGAAAACCAATAGTGACATGGAGACAAAGATATGAGAATTTTTCTCTACAGAGCTGTGCCAAATGGACACAACCCAATGTTGCCAATATGTCTGCAGGGAGTTTTGGGGGTTTTTTTTTGTTTGTTTGTTTTTTAAGGATTCTGCCTCTGGCCTGAAACAGCACTTTTCAAACTGAGTCACAATCCATTAGTATGATATGAAATCATATGGGTACAGGCAGTATATTTCTTAATGAAATAGAATAAAATCAAATAGCATAGAATAGGACATACTAGAGTGTATTGCTGGTACTAGGAATAAATATTGTTTCATAAAATAGTTTGCTTTAGTCTACAGCCTTACCACCCTGAATGTGCCCCAACCTGTCTGATCTCAGAAGGTAACCAGGGTCTGGCCTGGTTAGTAATTGGATGTAAAATAGTTTTATACACACACACAGCTTACTACCTTTCTATCTAGATCTATTTGGTCCCTAAGTAATGATACATATAACAAGAGATCCTATATAGTTATGGTTTGAGCTGCCATATAATTTTTTTAAAATTATGAATTAGGCTGGGGGAGGGGCATCCAATGTTACTAACCTAAGGAAATTACAGTAAGTAGAATGGAAACTAATACTTTAAAAATTCCAGAATAGTTTAACACACTCTTCTTTCGTCCTAATTATCTTTCATTTGGTTTCCCTGGATTTGTATGTTTGGGAATAGACATTCTTTCAATCTGGTACAACTGGCAAAAATAAAAGGTGGGCCACAACTTGAAACATTACGTGGGTATTCATGCACAGGGCCAAATCTGTACCAGCCAGCCGACCGGGCTACTTCCTGTCATTCCATGTGCCAAACCACTGACAGAATCTGGACCAGAAGTAAGCTCCCAACTCCCTTTGAAAAGCCTTTAAAATGCCAACTTCTCAAATCACCGGGCAAAAGACCAACTGCTCTCTAGGATATGGAGCCCTGAACAGGAAAATGGCCAATTCACATTTTTAAGCAGAGTTGAATTTGTTGGTGTAGCATGACTTTTGTAAACTTTTTGACAAACTCTATAATACTATAGTATTTTCAAATGTGATCTTCAAAAAATTAATTTGCCTGATACTCTGAAATAACACTTCCATCACTACTGCCCTCACTGCCCTCCATCCCCATAAAAAGAAAGTTATCATATCTGCCCTGGTTTGAACGGTTGTGTATGGATCAGTGCTGCCAGTTCCTGCCTTTGGAAGCATCATCCAGGGGATGCAGGCGAGTATAATCTGGGGAATTTAGCTCCCTTGAGTTCTTGAACACATGTTCAGGGTGTGTCACCCCAGTGGTCACTGTCCAATCTTCTGCAGTTAAGAGTCACTAGTTTACAAACAGATAAATAGTGGAGGAACCAATAAATCATTCAAGTGATTGTACCAGACTAACCACAATAGCAACACACCAAAAGCACTGTTCTCTTAGTTTGTTAATGACAACTGTGTACTAGAGTCACCACTGGCAGGAAGATTTGGCCCAAGGCTCAGAGTAAAAACTCGAAACCAATTAACGGAACTCAACTTGATCACTAGTGCAAAAAGGACTAGTAACTTTTGCCACTCAGTCATTACCTATAGTAATAATTCTGTGGCATTCTCTGGTTTTACGGATTCTTAATCTGGAATACCAGCTGCTTTATGTTTTAGGATTATTTGGTTAGAAAAAACTTTGATAATGAAATATAATATTTCTCAAAGTCTCCACCCAACAGAGCTAGAATGAACCTCACCAATGCTGCCATCTACCTACTGCCAAAAAACAGAAGTAGGAATTTTTAGCTTTTTTAAAAAAGTATTTTAATTCTGTGATTTTTTAAGTATTCAAAAGACTAGATAGTATAATAAGAGTGTAAGCAATGTTCAAATGTCTCCAATTTAAGATGATTTGACTTATGATTTTCTGACTCTACAATGGTGGAAAAACAATATGCATTCAGTAGAAACTGTCCTTCAAAATTTAAATTTTGATCTTTCCCTGTGCTAGTAATATACAGTAGAATATTCTGTCTGATGCTGGACAGCAGCAGTGAGCCACAGTTCCCAGTCAGCCACATGATCACAGATGACAAGGGTATAAAACTGATACTCTAAAGTATGTTGTCTTGCCAATGCTTTTTGAATATTGTGTTTTATGTTTTTACATCTCACCACGTCTACAAAATGCCCATCTGTGTGCAGTATTCGACAGTTGTAAAACAGGTTAAGGGTTAGATGATTTTGCACAACTGTAGACAAATTGAGTTTTCTGAGCATGTTTCAGGTAAGCTAGGCTAAGCTATGATGTTTGTTAGGTTAAGTGTAGCAAATGCATTGTCAAGTCATGATGAGTTTATTGGGACATAACTTCTTCAAAAGTCTAGAAGCATCCGTATAATTTACTTATATTTGTTCTCCACAATTTACTGCAACATGTAACATCAAACTTTTTTTAAAAAGCTTGAATCCAGGAGTCCAAGGTTACAGTGAGCTATGACGGGCCACTGAGCAACAAGGTAAAACTATCTCTAAAAGAAAAAATAAAAATAAAAGCAAAGTTGAAATTTCTTCGTTTTTTTCCTATGAAGTACATCCCATATGTGTGTACAATTGGCAGTTCATTTTTCTTCTATCTACTTTCCCATTTCTAAAATTAAAGAAAATTTCTTGAGTGTCATGATGGTGAAGCTTATCATAAAGATAACATGTGTTGATGACAACTCAGCCTATTCAAGGCATCTGGGGCTAAATGTTACTCAGATGGCAGATTTGCTGCCTGCCGGGACAGTCCCTGCAGGAGCATTAGCACTTCCTCTACTATGTGGCAGTTTCTAAAACACCAAGTAAACAATTTTAAGTAGATTATCTCTTTAATCAGAAGTTTACACTACTCCACTGCAGCACATCAAAAAATTATAACAGGTTTTGAATCTTACAAAGAGACACAGTAATGTCAGTTTATTTCAACCTAAATGAAACAGATCTTCAGATAAATACTGGAAAACTTGCTTTTTTAAAATGGATGTCTAAGTATACATTATTCAATGTTCAAATATTTTGAGGCAGTGTTAAACAGTGACAAATTACTAAATTTTTATTCAGAAGTTCTGCCTTTTTACACACCTTCCAAACTCACTGAGCCTTTAGTAGTAGTAGCAAATGGGGGGGGGGGGCAGGGAAACGGGCAGTGACCCTTACACAAGCACAAATACCCAGAATCCTGACCTGTGGTATCCAACAGCATTTAAAAAAAAATGTTGCTAGCTAAACCATTTCCAACAAAAAGAGAATGGAAAATGAAATTGCTAAGAAGTAGTAAGTACAGAAGCTGTAAATTCCCTGCAGTTGAAATTACATCTTCAGATTCCGTATAATAAAGGGCCTGGATCTAAAATGAGTGTTGAAAACAAATCTCCTTGCCCATGAATAACCGAAAGAAAAGAGGGGGGATAAAAAGAAGAAAATTCAAAAATAATTTTCAATGAATAAAAATATGAGAACATATGGAATCATTCACAAGGCTAAGCTGCTACCTGTTTAGATCTTCAGAGGAGGAGTGAGAGACATTTCCGCCACCCAGGGAGATGTTTCTTTGCATACATAATTTAAATAAATCACTCTAGCACAGGCAAGAAGAGCGGCAGAAGTCTTCTCACTAATTACCACTGCCTGGACCCCATATGCCGCTTTCTCTTTAAAGCCACACTAGTTCATTATTCTGCCTTCAACTCTCTTAAATGATTCATTTCCCCCTTCACTCCTGAGCAGACTCTGCAGGGAAGCTAGTATTTAAGTTTAATTTCGAGTGCCACTTGCTTTGGAGAGCTGGATGAGGGGAAGGAGGAGGAATCTAGTTTAAGAATTCTGCCATGAATCGGAGAGGCGCCCTCCGTCCTCCGCCCCAAAAGATAACTAGACAAGCAGGACCCTTCGACAAGCTGTAACCGTGAGCAAAGACAACAATTGGGAAAGCAGGGCCCACGTGCGGTGGGAACTGTCACCCACGGGAAGTGGCAGCCTGCGAGGAGGAGGAAGGGTGGGAGAGAGTCAGGCCGGGGCCAGCACCTGCACTGGCCTAGGCGCTCCGGGGGACGGCGGAGGACGCGAGTCGCGCCGGAATGAAGGTGAGCTTTCTCTCCCGGACGCTAACGAGGCGGGGCGAGGGACATCGAAGGGCCGGGGAGGCCGGGTCGGCCGGGTCCCGCATCCCCGGGCTCTGTCACTGCGAGAGGGACGTCCAGCCCCCGGTGCACGCCGCGGGCTTCCCCAGCCGGAGCCCGCGCGCAGGGCGCCCGGCTCCGCCGGGTGCAGGACGCCCGCCAGCCCCCGCCTTACCGTCCCAGCTCCGACTCCACCTCGAAGAAATCGCTCAGAGCATCTCTGTTGGAGCCGTCGATCCAGTAATCCGGGACCAGGCTCCCGGCCCCCGGGGCCGCGCTGGCGGTGACCGAAGAGCAGGACGAGGCAGAGCAGGAGGGCACCGTGACTTTGAGCATCTTCGCAGCGGGACTCCGGAAGCCGCCGCCGCCGCCGCCGCCGCCGCCGCCGCTGCCCGAGCGAGAAGCCCCGCCGCCCGCCGCCGCCTGCGAACGCAGGAGCCTGGGAGAGGTGGCGTCCTTCGCACGCGCACACACCCACCGCCGCCTCCCCCTCCCGCGCTCCGGCTGCCGCTCCCGCCCGCGCGGCCAGGGGGGAGGTGGGCGGAGAAGGAGGTGAGCAGCCGCGAGAGGGTGCGAGGGGGAACCCGGAGTCCCCGCCCGCCGGAGAGAGGCGAGGCGGAGGCACCGCAGAGGAGACAGACTCCCTCCCCCTCCGCTCCTTCCCTCCCCACCTCGCCTCCGCCGCCGCCGAGCCCTTCCAGCCCCCCTCCCTTTTTCCTTTCTCTCTCCCGGGTTGTGGCTGCGGCGGGGCCGGCTGGGGCGGCTCCGGATGCTGGAGCTTGGGGAAGGCACAAGGACCAGAGCAGCATCCCACGCGCCCTCCCGCGGGAGCCCGAGGCTGGACGGAGACCGTGCGCAGGGGGCGCCCGCCCGGGAGCACATGGGTGCGGGCGGTCCAGCCGGAGAGTGAGAAAGGGACCCGGGTGTTGTTGATGCAACTCATCCCTCCTTGAGTTCCTCCTCCCTAGCACTAGCTAACCAACTATCCCTCGTTCGTGCCTCGGCCAAAGCTTCTGTGGGTGGCTGGAGAGGGTCCTGTGGTCGCCCATCCGCCCAGGGCTCCTGCGCCCGGACCCAGCGAAAGCTGAAGGAAAAGGAAGTGTCTAGCTGCACGCTGCCCTGACTCACCTTTGAGTGAAGTCTTCAGCTGGAATCGACGCTTTTGTCGCTGCTGGTGGCACTGTCTCCTCTGGCCCTACTGGAGCTCCTAAAAGGGCAGATATATGACTGTGTCGAGTTCAATCCTAGCATCTGAAGGCCAATAACAGAACTGGCTCGGAGAATTACAGCTCTGCAAGGGCCCTGTGGAAGCTAACTACTAGAACCCTCTGCCTTAGGGCAGGACCTGTCTTCGGTCATGACAGAGAAGATTGCTACATTTAAAGCTCTTTTCTCTTCCCAAGAGATGTATCCCATCATAAGTATTCTAACGTCGGGCCATCAACTGTCATGACCATTCTTCTCAGTATTGGTTAAATATACATCACTTACACGTTTACCCTTGAACTTTTTTCTTTTCAGATTTCAGCAAAGATAAACGAGTCTGTATTATGACATATACAGCACACATATGACAGTCGTTACATCACAACTAATTTTTGCTAAATAACTCTAGGCCTTTAATTTTTCTTCACAGGTGCTACTACTTCACAGGTGCTACTGTCTTTTATTCCCCTTGACTTTCCTCCAGTATGCACTAAACTCTTCCTAGTAAGTCTCCATTCCTGATAACACAAGTAATAATATAATCTAATATTTTTATCTAGTATATAGGTTTATTTATTATTTTTAAAAGTCTTCCTGCTATATTGGTGAACTAACAACAAAAACATCCAATCAATTGGTGACAGAAATGTCATTTCTAGCTGATTGGAAATTGAAAATAAATATGGTCATGCATCACTTAATGGCAGCCGTAAGTTCTGAGAGATGCGTGCTTAGGAAATTTAGTCATTGTGAGAGCATCACAGAGTGTACTTATACACACCTATAGGGTATAGCCTACTACACACCTATGATGTATGGAATTGTCTATTGCTCCCAGGCTACAAACCTGTACAGCATATTACCATACTGAATATCGTAGACAATTGTAACACAAAGGTAAGCATTCATATATCTAAACATGTGCATACATAGAAGAGATACAGTAAAAAATATGGCACAAAAATTTTTTTTAAATGGCACACCTATATAGGGCACTTACCATAAACGGAGCTGACATGACTGGAAGTTGGCTCTGGGTGAGTCAGTGTGTGAGTAGTGAATGTAAAGGCCTAGGACATTACTGTATGACACTGTAGACTTTATAAATACTGTACACTTAGGCTACACTAAACTTATAAAAATAAATTTATAAGTTTAAAAAATAGTTTTTCTTCTTCAGTAATAAATTAACCTTATTTTACTATAATGTTTTTACTTTATAAATGTTTTACTTTTTAAATAAAAGCACAAACACACTGTACAGCTGTATAAAAATATTTTCTTTCTTTATATCTATATTCTATAAGATTTCATTTATTTTTATTTTTTACTTTTTTAACTTTTTTGTTAGAAACAAAGACACACACACACACATACACACATTAGTCTAGTCCTAAATAGAAGCAGGATCCTCACTACCCCTGTCTTCCACTTCCACACCTTGTCCAGTGGAAGGTCTTCAGGGGTAGAAACACACATGAAGCTGTCATCGCCTATGATAACAACACTTTCTTCTGGAATAGCTCCTGAAGGACCTGTTGTTTTACACTTACCTTTTATTTTTTTAATAAGTAAAGGAATATACTCTTAAATAGCATCAACTAGTAACAGTCACTTATCATTATCAAGCACTGGGTATTCTATGTAACTGAATGTGATACACTTTTATAACTGGCAGCACAGTAGGTTTGCTTACACCAGCATCATCACAAACATATGAGTAAGGTATTGGGTCTTGATGTTATGAATAGAACAGCTATGATGTCATCTGATGATAGGAGTTTTTCAGCTCCCTTATAATCGTACAGGGCCACCATCATATATGCGGCCCATCACTGACTGAAATGTTATATGGTACATGTCTGTACAAAAACGATTCCCTGAAGTTAATTTTATAATAATAAGCACAAGCTCAGTTTTAAAAGCTATAAAAATTAGCAAGTATTTACAGATCTATACAAATTCGCTTATATACTAGATCATTTGGCAAAAGACTGAAAATGCTCATATGACTTGTTACTTTTCAGAGAATTAATTTACTAATCTTCATGTTTAAAAATCAAGTTACAAACGAAGCAAGATAATAAAACTCTCTAAAGTAAATTCTAGTTCTCACTAAATAAGTATCCCTTGGCTTGCACTGACTAGTAGAGGGACAGGCAGGCGTGAAATAGTTGTGAGGACATTTTTATTCAGACCTCTTTGAGGCAAGTCCAGCAGCAGCCCTGCATGTAAATAGCTTGTCTGTTGTAAGCAATTCTTTTACAACGTAAGTTCAAAGCAAGCGTATTGTGTTAAAGGAGATGGTAAGCCTTTTGTTCTTCTGCTATTTTAGGGAACAATGGTGGGACAAAGAGCCATTTCATGGTACAGAAGTGATTTTAGAACTGATATTTACAGTCAGCATAAGTTTAGTAATTTGGTACTTACAATTTTCATAACTGACTTTTATAAGACTGCTATTAATTGAAGTTTTAAAAGGGGTATTTTGTAAAACCCAGGCAGCTTACTTTTATTTTAAAATAAATAAAAATTAATAAATATTATATTAAAACAGATGGAACATGAACTAAATACACCAAATTTACAATCACTTCTTATCAACCTTAACTAAAATGACTAGAAAAGAAACAGAGGCATAAATCCCCCCCCAAAAAAAAACAGGGAGAAGTAATAGCTAAAATTTGAACACTTGAACAATTGATTCACTAACAATAGTGAATAAGCCTGAAACCTAGATCTGCAATGGGAAAAGTCAAGAAGAAGAAATCTAATTCTTACTATAAAATCAAGACATGTTCAGGAGTTAGAGTGTCAGATAGTTCTCAAGGTGATACACAGAACAGAGAAGAAGACATTAGTTAATGATTTTTATAAAAAGTTCTCAGAAAAATGATGTTGGTATTTTGATGGGTATTGCATTGACTCTGTAGATTGCCTTGGGTGGGATAGACATCTTGGCAGTATTGATTCTTCTAATCTGTGAGCATGGAATGTTTTTCCATTTGTTTGTGTCATCCTTGATTTCTTACAAGCAGCCAACAGATAAATGAAAAAATACTCAGCCTCACTAATCATCAGAGAAATGCTAATTGAAACCACAATGAGATGCCACCTAACTCCGGTAAGGATGGCCCTCATTAAAAAAATCAAAAAACAATAGATGCTGGCAAGGGTGTGGAGAAAAGGGAACACTTCTACGCTGTTGGTAGTTGTACAGCTGGTTCAACCTTTATGAAAAGCAGTGTGGCAATTCCTAAAAGAACTAAAAAATCGATTTTCCATATGATCCAGCAATATCACTCCACAGAATATACCCAGAGGAACATAAATCGGTCTACAAAAAAGACACCTGAACAAGCATGTTTATAGCTGCACTATTCACAATAGCAAAAACATGGAACCAACCCCACTGCCCATCAAAACTGGACTGGATAAAGAAAATGTGGTACATATACACAATGGAATAGAACATAGCCACAAAGAAGAACAAAATCATGGTCTTCGCAGGGAACTGGATGGAGTTGGAGACCATCATACATAGTGATCTATTGCAGAAACAAAGAACTGAATACTGCATGTTCTCACTTTTGAGTGGGCCCTGAACACTACTCGCATAAACACAAAGGCGGGAGCAGCAGTCACTGGGCACTGACAGAAGGGGAAGGAGGGAGGGAGACACGTAACAACACAAAGCATACCTGATCCTAATCCAGGGGAAATGAGGGCCAGTTGGAGGCCTAAACTTCACCGGCTTGCAGCCTACCTGTGTAGTTAACCCTTACTTGTACCCCACATCTCTATAATAAAATAAAAATTTTTTACAAGTTCTTAGTTTCCTTCACTCAAATTGGAAAGGATAAACTAAAATTGTACTTGTTTACAAATGATGTGATCTTATATTTAGAAAACCTAAGGTCTCCTTAAAAAAAAACTATTAGAATTGATTAAGTCAGTAAAGTTGCAGAATATAAAATCAACATATACAAATCAGTAGCATTTCTATACACCAACAACCAGCAATCTGAAAAAGAAACCAAAAAAGTAATCTCATTTACAATAGTTACAAATAAAATAACAAACCTAGAAATAGACTTAACCAAAGAAGTGAATCATCTCTCTAGTAAAAACTGTAAGATACTGATAAAAGAAACTGAAGAACATACACACAAAAAATGGAAAGATATTCCATGTTCATGAATTGGAGAGTCAGTATTGTTAAAATGCCCATACAACCCAAAGCAATCTACAGATTAAATGCAATCTCTATCAAAATACCAATGACATACTCCACAGAAATAGAAAAATATGATTAAATTTATATGAAACCACAAAAGAGCCTAGATAGCCAAAGCAATCCTAAGCAAAAAGAACAAAGCTGAAGGTATCACATTACTGGCTTCAAATTATAATTCAAAGCTATCGTACCAAAAAAGTATGGTACTGGCATAAATACAAACACATAGACCAGTAGAGCAGAATAGAGAGCCCAGAAGTAAATCCATGAATTTACAGTCAACTTATTTTTGACACAGATGTCAAGGACAAAAATTGGGAAAAGGACAGTCTCTTTGATAAGTGGTGCTTGGAAAACTGGATATTT